GCCGACAACAGATTAACGCGCCTTAATCAAAGCACTTTCAAGCCGATCTTTTCCTCCATTTCATCACTTGATCTATCAATGAACCCAATTGATTGTAACTGTGATCTAAAGTGGCTTATTGATTGGTTAAATGAACATATAAGCCTGAAAAACAAGGACGAAACTATTTGTTCGTCAGCATCTCTGAAGCCTCTTCGTGAGAAACACCTGCTTGACTTTGATCCAAATGAACTATGTATAATAAACAATGGTATATTCTCTCTGATTCCCCTCGTCTCCATTAGCTTGGTTGCCATCAGCGTGCTGTTGTATCACTACCGATGGCAGTTGAGGTACAAACTATTTCTCTTGAAACTGGCCGTACTGGGCTATAAAGAGATGCGAGACGTTCGTGACCACAATGATTACGAGTTTGACGTGAACATAATTTTCTATGACGATGACGAAGAATGGATTCGCGAACAGCTCCGACCAGCTCTCAAAGAACGGCTTCCACAGTTTCAGAGGAACGTCTTTGGTTATCAAGACCTTGTGTTGGGTATGCATTACTTAGATTCCGTCGACTATGTGGTAAGCCATAGTTAACAAGACCATCATAGTGATTAGCAGAGCTGCTGTGCACGACCACTGGTTCATACTCAAGTTCCGTACGGCCATGGACCACGTGAGTGACACTCTGACGGAATTCGTAGTCGTGGTTTTCCTCGAAGACATCCCAGATGATGAAATGCCATTCTTGGCGAGGTTGTACCTCAATGATGGCAGACCCTATATCCACTGGACTGAGGAATTGAGAGGACAAGATTGTTTCTGGGATAAATTGACCAAACATCTGTCAATTAATCTAAGGACGAATGACTTCATCCCAAACGAGTAGCAGACATGCAGGAATATAGAGATATAGAGGGTAGTGAGCACTTTTGTCTTTTTTTTGGTCCTCGAAAATTTAAAAATTTGCACCCCCCCCCCCAAAAAAAAAAACACCCCCCCCAAAAGGGTAAAAATCACGTGTTTTTACATGATTTTTTTTTCTCAAGGGGGGGGGGGCGGGCCGGCCCCCGGCCCCCTGGATCCGCCTCTGTTGTAGTGTGACATACCATGCTCTCGAGATAGGAGTAAGGGGGCAAATAAATAGGAACAACACAAATCGGCTAAAGTGGGTACTCGGGAAATGTTCAGTCCATCTTCGCCCAAATAGTTTCTTTCAGAAAATAAGTAGATACGCAATCTTGTCATCCTTTGTCATATTGAATGCATGAAAAGAATCAGTGGAAGGATGTGGAATACCTTGGAACTTTAATTAGCACTTCATTCTCCTCAACACTTCTTCTCTTTCTTCTTCCTCTTCCTCTTCTTCTTTGCCTTATTTCGTCTTCTTCTTCTTTCTTCGTCCTCTTCTTCCCCCCTCTCTCTCATTCTTCCTAAACTTTTCTTCCTCGCCTACCTCTCCAACCTCCTCCTCCTTTACTCCATCTGCTTGCTTTTTCTCTCCTCTTTTCTCTCTACCCCCCTCCTACTTTCCCCCTTTTCTTCCACTCGTCTATTCCAAGTGGAATGACTTGGTTACACTCGTTTACACTTTATCTCCAGCCTATAATGTACCCTCTACTTTCTCATCTCTTTCACATTTTCGTACATCGTTTCCTACTCCGAGCCCTTACCCGCATGTTCAGAAAATCATAATCCCCTTAATTCTTTTTTTTTTAATTTAATTTTTTTTGCCAACCTATGCATTAAATACAGGCACGATTAATAATTACTACTATACACGATTGATGTATGATTGTAATATAATAGATGTATTAATGTAACTATACATAATTAATATATAATTGTAATTATGCATGATTGATATATATTTGTAATTGTAATGCATTATTGTTTGTATGTTTTTATAGGTAGTGCGACCTGCCATGGTTTCGGAAAGGGAATGTACACATGTATACCTTTTATATGAAATAAAGGCATGATTTAACAACAGTGGGGTTTTCGTGATCAGAGAAACTGATTATAATGTTCTTTCATCGATGTGGTCTCCTTTGGGGCTGTTACAATGGTCAATTCCAATATGGCTGCCATACGGGCAAATGCGACGATGTGTATACTTAAATTTTCTTCTCTTTTATGGGATATAATATCGGGATAAAACTAATTTCATGGTCATATCAATGGTTAACATGCACACATAAACACACTGACATTCATTAGTTAACCCTAACATACACACGAAAATCACAAAACACCACAAACACACACACAGACACACACATCAAAACTGGCTAAAATCACGACTCCAATTTCGACCAATCAGATGGCTAGATTTCTAAAGAGAGGTTTATATATATATATATATATATACCATATTGTTGTATTAACATTTAAATATACCCTACATAGTACAATAACCGAACATCATAAAACTGGTATATTGACCCTGACCCTAACCCTAACCGTAAATCCAGAACAAAAATATGGTTTATTAAACTAATGACAAATGATTAAACCTTTTGCTTCTTGGGAGGCCTTTTAATTCCCTTTGCCTGCAAACGTACGTAAAGGGCAGTACTTCTTTTGTTCAGTCGTTAACAGGACACGAAAATGTCCTGCTAATGACCATGTATACTTAATGACTCATTTTTTCACTACATAATTATGTCCGCCCAATGACGCCGTAAGGTAAATATATGTATATATTTATTTATGTATATATATGTATATATGTATATGGAATTTGCTTATATTAAACATTCTTATTTATACATACATCGGTTCATTTTTATATATCGATAAAGATGGTACACTTATAACACATCATTACATCACTTTAAAATAACTTGGTCACCAGATTTCTAGCCCCCCTCACAAGTGTGCACCATTTCCATTACTTAGGGAGAATTCCGTTGAAAATCAGTCACATTGGCTTTTGCGAAACCTCAAAGATATCTGTTTCCTGCTGGGTGGAGATAGTGGCCGTGTACACAAATAGTTTGCCAAAGAATGTTATTGCCATGACTGCGACTCAGACCACAAACCATATGATTAATAGTTTGAATAAATCAATTAGGATTTTGGTATTATTTCGGTCTTTGCCGGTCCAAATAACATCCCTAACAAAATTTATCATGCCACACATATCAAATATCGAATATCAAATATCAACGAACATTTGTGCGCATGCGGGTGTTTGTGTGTGACTTTGCTTCTGCAAAAAGCATATGCAATGCATTTCATTTGATACATTCAATTCATTCTCCCACTCCGCTAATCCCAACATAATACCATTGGATGCATCACTTTGGCGCAAGTCGACTTTTACACTCTCGCAAAAAATGCCTCCTAATCATCCAAACGTGATCACATACCACACAAAAATGATACCAAATGATTTGGGATAAAACACACTTTCATAAAATGTATAATCATTTACTGTTCATAGATGATTTCTTAAATAATTAGCAATTTTCTAGGTGTAAACTTTTTTTTTGACTCACACGGTATGGATGGTTCTGCATGTGGTGGAATGTCTCACTATGTGAGTAGTGGCACTACTGCCTAGAACGGAGCCAGGTGCACGAAACGTACTACAATCAAACCTGCATGTCTACCAAGGTCATTAAAGGGAAACAACAAAAAACAGCCACTGTAGGCAAGTGTCCCCTCTAGACAGGATCCACAACACACCTTCCAAAACTTTGAGCAGTATTTTAGGATCAAATACTTGAGTAATAGTACATTTTTTATAATATTTGTTTCAACAATATCTCATTTTACAAAGAGTGTAACAACATATTAAAAATGATTATGATATACATGTTTATACAATACCGGTACACACTATTCAGAATATTGTCCTTGAGTTGAACTTAAGAGATATAGTGGCGGAGCCTATGAAAAGCAGAACTTGTTGTGGTTAGGCTCCTTAAACTACAAATGACAATATTAACTAAAGTTATTTTTATAAAATACAAATACACGCTAAAACAGTGAAAGGCAGATTTATACAGGGATACATGAACCGATACTCACATTTAAAGGTAAAGACTAGTATTGGAAACGCCCCAATTTCAAAAAATGAAATGGAAGCTCTCATTACCAATCATGTGAAAGAATATGTTATGACTAATACATGATGATAAAAAATTTGCCGGGAAACCGCCTACTAATTCATATATTTGTTAAATTTGTTTCTCTCATGGTCTGTGAGAGATATAGGGTAGTCCCATATACATCTTTCTGTGTATAGTGCTTGTAACTTTACGAAGAATGGGCCAAATTTCTTATCATTTTGATGATTCCAGAACCTTGCAGATGCTAGATGCTAGATGATCAACCTTTTCTGATCGATTCCACAACGTTTCTTTCACAATGCAATCGCATGACCATAACTGGTCTTTAGCTTTAACAACAAAAGACAAGGGAATGGGAAGTGAATATAGGCAGCGTATTGAAAAAAATAGTACAATGTAGTTTGTTCTCAATATGAGTATTATATGTACATAGTTGGTATAGCACCGTTATTTTATACCTCCTACCTTAATTTATTAAAATATGAGTTTCATATACTCTTATCGAATCTGTTACAATTCAGTACATATATATCAAAAGTAAACGAAAGTTCTTCTATATTTCTCACAATACATAAACCTTGTATGCACGTCACGTGGGGTATTTTTTTCCTCCTGCAGCCTTATAAGATATATAAAGTCCAAAGAATACAATTTATTTCTACGTTCCCCAAAATATCTTTTGGTAGGATTTTAGTCAGCTCATAAATATTCCATTTATACAAAAACAGAGAAAATGTAACATGTGACAAAAAACAGTGCATCTTGCCTACAATCACTATGAACATGACGGACAAAGAAAGAGGCCAAAATATACAGTTCCTCATTATACCCTCAACAATTGCTGTGGTAGACAAAAGAACATCCCTTCACTGCTATTATCATGTAAAAATGTGTAGAACAGGTGAAAATGCATGACACCTGTTCTACACATTTTTACATAATAGCAGGGAAGGGATGTTCCTTTGTCTACCTGAGGAACTGTATATTTGGTACTCTTTCTTTGTCCGTCATATTCATAGTAAATGGCTACGAGAGAAATTCAGGGACATCTCTTTTGTACCACTTTATAATACCAGCTTTGTCCAATTCCTTCAGGATTTTCACCTCTCTTAAAAAATCATGGCTCTTTGACGTATTCTCGTAGGTATAGAACTTTTTATCGTAATAGTATCCCGAGTACTTCTTGTTAAATCCCATGCCGTACACACTGACAGAATCACATCCAGATTGGAGAGCCGTCATGAACATCACGAAACCAGTACTCGGACGAAAGGACCTGGTCTGCATCCAGCTGAATTAATAATAATAATAATAATAATGGATATTTATATAGCGCACATATCCACCCTGCAGGGTGCTCAAAGCGCTTCGTTAGGTACTTTTAGATTTACACGACGACAACGTGGATTGCTACGATCGACGTCCTTTTAATGCACTGCCTTGAATGGACGTCACATGTATCAGTCCACGCAAATCTAAAAGTCCCTATGATTACCCCGGCTCTGCTAGGCTACCGATTTCGGTGCTCACAGCATTCAAAAAATTCCTTCCTACCGGTCCCCATTTACTTCACCTGGGTGGAGTGTGGCAAATGAAGATCAATGTCTTGCCAAAGGACATTAGTGCCGCGGCGGGATTTGAACCACGGACCTTGTGATCGACAGTCCGGCGACGCATCCACTCGTCCACGACATCATTAAATGAAGGGCGGAAATGTATAGGTGATAGATAAGTACAGTGGTATGGAGAGGAGCGGGGAGTGGCATGGGTCTTGCTTGAATGGTGACAGGTGGGAGAACAAGGACATTGATATAGTAGGGGAATATAGAATAAGGGTCATATCATGAAATTCTTTACTTTTTTTCTTTGTCATTCCGTTTTTATCTTTTTAATAAAATAAATAAAATAAAATAACTAAAAGAGTTTGTTAATCCCAGGCATCCATTCACTTCACCCGGGTAAACTGAAATGTTGGTAGATAAAATTCCATGTCTTTGGACCTTGCAACATACCAGGAGGCGTTTCACAAAACTTGTCATCAGTGACAAATGACAGTTTTTGTTATAAGCTACTCAAATTCTTGCTTCTGATTGGTTATCAGCAGATTTGTCACTGATGTTTGTCATTCGTTATTGAAAGAAGGCTTTGTGAAACGGTTCCCAGGATTTGGTCCCAAGAAAATTCTAATTCACAGTCAAGAAAACAAAAACAAATTAAAAAAAAACACTTCTACTGATGCTAATAATTTCCCATATACCCTCTACAAGAAAGGTCTAAAGAGTACGAGAGATAGTTACAGTTTTTTAATGATATGTACAATTCCTAATTGGTTCTGATTGGTTATCAGCAGATTTGTCACTGATGTTTGACATTCGTTATTGAAAGAAGGCTTTGTGAAACGGTTCCCAGGATTTGGACCCAAGAAAAATTCTAATTCGCAGTCAAGAAAACAAAAACAAATTAAAAAAAACACTTCTACTGATGCTAATAATTCCCCATATACCCTCTACAAGAAAATTCTAAAGAGTACGAGAGATAGTTACAGTTTTTTAATGATATGTACAATTCCTAAATCATGAAACAGTATGTTCTGATAAGTAGCCATAGGGACTTTTAGATTTACCCGACGAGAGCGTGGACTGCCGCGTGTGACATTGTGTTAAGGCACTGGGCCGTTCCCGGCAGTGTGAATGAGAGACAAAGGACTGATTTTGAGAAATCAATGACATAAAGGCTGAAAGAGAACTCACACTTTGTGAACATATCTGATAAAGTCTGGGTGCATTAGTCTGATGTCAGCAGCTTGAGCTTTCAGTTTCTGTTTAGGGTTAGTTCCCTTGGCGACCTCTGAGATGTAGTGATAGTCGTCTAATCTACAAGGCAGGAAGACCCACTTGATACCCTGTGAGAACAAAGCAATGATTATATGAAATATACTACACACAAAACAAACAAAGAACACATACACATAGCTTACACATACAGTTAACTCAAACATATGAGTGCAATACATAAAACTTCAGTATAATCAAATTTAAATATAATACAAAAAAGCAAACAAATAAAACATACACAAGGCCTACATGCTTTACTGAGATGACTGCCAGATGAACAGCTTCAGTCTATTCTTTGACAAGGCCTAATATTAAACATTATTGTAATTAGGTTTGTTGGAGAAAAGGAAATGCTCTTTTGTTTTTTTGTTTTGTAAGTGGCTATTTGATATGAAAGTGATTTAAATAGATCTGTTACAATTACAACAGCATGAGTGAATATCTAAAGGAGATTTAGTGGCATATATACATTTCTCTCTCTCTCTCTATAGAGGAAATATATCAGGTATGTTTCATCATAAGCTTTCATTATATCTCGTCAATCGGATGACAAGGTGTTCTCAGACCTTCGGATAACTCCAGGTATTTCGGACCATTCTGCAATTTTGTGCAATATACATCTGCACAAACCTCCATCAGTTGTACATCCTCGAGTCATGCGTAACATCAGAGCAATTGACAGAACATCATTTGCATCAGATATGATGAACAGCGAGCTTTCCTCGACATCTTCATCCACTGACGATGTAACAGCTAGAGTCGACTTGTATAACATGGTTCTCAGTGACTTATTAGATGTCCACGCACCAGCCACATCCCGAACTGTCAAGACACGAGCTCATACTCCTTGGTTTACTCACGAAATTAAAAGTGAGAAACAAGAACGTAGGCGCCTGGAAAAGAAGTGGCGATTTTCGAAGTTGGAGATCGATCGTCAACTGTATTACAAACAGAAACAACATGTGCACTCTCTTCTCCGCAAATCAAAACATGATTACTACCAGTAATCAATAAGTGACTGTCGTAACGACTCCAAGAAGATGTTCAAATTTGCTAATGCACTCTTGAATCGCAAACAGACATCTCCACTTCCAGCGAACGCATGCAACAAATCCCTAGCATCGCTCTTCAGCCAGTTCTTTGTTTCCAAGATTGACAGTATTCGAAGGAACCTCTGTACTGATGTTGCTCCACTTCCACCACTGTCTTGTATTGGACTTGCAACACTTGCAGATACTGCTTCCGAGGAAATTGAGTCCCTTATCCGCAACAACCCTGTTAAATCATGTGAGCTTGATCCGATTCCAACTAAGCTTCTTAAAGAATGTGCTGCTATCATATCTCCTTACATTGCCGATGTGGTCAACCTGAGTCTGCAGCTGAGTGGGAAAGTTCCGAAAGCCTTGAAGATCGCTCATATTCATCCACTACTGAAGAAGCCTTCATTATATCCAGAATGTCTCCAGAACTATCGTCCAGTCTCGAATCTACCTTACTTGTCGAAACTTCTGGAGCGAGTAGCCTTCTCTGGATTGTATGATTACCTACAGGAGAATGATCTACTTGACAATCACCAGTCAGCTCACCGTGCAAATCACAGTGTTGAGACCCTGCTCGTCAACCTGTCCAACAACATCCTGACAGAAATGGATGTTGGTAGGATCACAGCAGTCGTGTTATTAGACCTGTCGGCAGCATTTGATACTGTGGACCATCGTATTCTTGTCAATGTATTGTCATCAATTGGAATTCGTGACCACGCACTTGAATGGTTCATGTCCTATTTGGATGAACGGCAGCAATTGGTATGTGTAAATCATGAAAGATCTGATCCTGTCAAGCTCAGTTGTGGCGTCCCGCAGGGGTCAGTCGGGGGCCGTTGCTGTTTTCCTTGTACATCACTAGGCTCAAGCAAGTTTTACAGCAGCATGATGTCATGTATCACTGCTATGCAGATGACATCCAGATCTACGCATCGTTCCTTCCCAATCAAAATGACGCAAGTCGGACGGTCAAACTACTCGAAGCTTGCGTCAAAGATGTGCAAACTTGGATGAACTCGAACTCACTCAAACTGAATGATAGTAAAACTGAACTAATTTTATTGGATTCCAAATCAAATCTTGCTAAGATACAGTCGTTCAATATATCCATATCAGATTCTGTAATTAGTCCTTCCTCGCACTGTCGTAACCTTGGTGTCATGTTAAACTCGTCTATGTCATTGTCAACTCATGTTTCTAGTATTTGTAAGTCAGTCAGATATCAACTAAGAAATCTAGGTTTTATTAGGAAATACTTAAGTCGTTCAACCACAGAGAAACTTGTACGTGTTCTTATTTCATTACGCTTAGATTTCTGTAATTCTATTCTCTATCTACTCCGTAACACACAACTTTCTCGACTTCAGAAACTGCAAAATACTGCTGCACGTATTGTCACACTTTCTTCTCGTAGAACCCACATCACCCCCATTCTCAAAACTCTTCACTGGCTCCCGGTATGTGACCGAATTATTTTTAAGTTGTTGTTGTTAGTTTTCCATTCATTGTATGACTCTGCTCCTTCCTACAATATCAAGTTGATTGTTAAGTATAAGCCTACAAGACGTCTTCGTTCATCTCAATCCTCCTTATTAGTTGTCCCTAAGACGCGCAGTTCCTGGGGGGATAGAGCATTTTCTCATTCTGGTCCGTCCCTTTGGAATAAGCTGCCACTTAGTATTCGTAATTTAACTACCCTTCATGCCTTCAAAGTTGCTCTAAAAACCCATCTCTTTCTAAACAGTGCTATTTAATCATTTCAATGCAGCGTAATAATTTGTGTTGTTTTAGTTTACTTTATTTTAGTTAAGAATGTTATATTTTTGTGATAGTAATACAGTAATACGGATACCGGCGCTATATAAATATCCATATTATTATTATTATTATGATCATGAAGTGCCTCAAAAAAGTTTTTAAAAAATTGAGTGACCGATTTTACCCTATTCAATTTCCCGATAGACTGAAGTGTTATGAAAACCGTTAGGAAAACGAATTCTTAAATTTCTAATTCCAATCAAAGATATCTTGACAATCGGACAGGCGATTGGCTTGTAAAACTCATGGGATTCATGTATGACCTAAAGATTTATGATTGCAGCATGAGCTAAATCCAGGATTTTCTTTTAGAATCTGAGGCAAAGTTACCCAATCCCTTTAAGGTTGCAATGCGGTATTAGGTGAGGTTTGGGGGGGGGGGGAAGGGGGTAAGTGTTAGGGTTAGAGGGTGTTAAAGGCTTAAAGGGTGGGGTCCAGGTTTGAAGTTAGGCATTAGTTTAGAGTTGGACTTTATTTGCGGAGCAATTGTCGCCAGTGCATGTGACATTCAACTAAATTGTCTACCTTATCTCTCGGTATATCAGCCTGTTGCGTATGGCTGAGGGATCTGTCCATGAATACGTAGTGCGTTGTCCGATTACCAACATCGTGTTCAAAGCCTCTCCTGAGACAATTGTTAACTCTGAAATAAAATGGAGATATTTCACCTTTAGTTCTTGATTTTATTCAAAAGAAACGATACTGTGTTAGTTAAAAAGCCATTATACGGGTGCAGTCTGAGCATGAGCAGATAAAGGTCATATGTACCAAAAAGGTAAAACCCACAGAGATGAATACTGGATATTCACTCATGAAAGTTATGTAACATTATTTATTTATGCACCAACGGTACATTCTAAGATACGCAGGTGGAAGTATTCTTTTCAAGAGGACAAACAAAAGGTATTCATGAAGCACATCTAGTACTTTGGCATTTATTATTCTAAGATGCTCAAAGTGGAACTTCTCACTGTGAACATGACGAACAATAAAAGCGGACAAAATATACAGTTCCTCAGGTAGACAACGAAACATCCCTTCACTGCTTTTATGTAAAAATGTGTGGAACAGGTGTCGAATGCATATTCACCTGTTCTACACATTTTTACATAATAGCAGTGAAGGGATGTTCCTTTGTCTACCTGAGGAACTGTATATTTTGTCCGCTTTCTTTGTCCGCCAAGTTCATAGTGTCTCCATGTGTAAAAGATCTGCGGATATTTGGGGGTCATTTGTACCATGTGCTATCTGTAAACTCCCTTATTGATATATCCTGAATTTGCTAGTATTTGGATACTCCTAATAGGGTACACACAACCAGTTAATAATTGTGAGGTGTTGAATGCCTCTGCGGCAGTTTTTGTTAGAAATCACAGCCTTAAATATTTTATGTTACTGCTGATTTTGCTTAGATCAGGAAGCTGTAATGAATGGAGATCCCGTCCAAGAGGCCCCTTTGAAGTCATCCGTGGCACCGCGCCTCTTTTGTTTCCCCTACCGTAATCCCCTTAATCCCCCTCCGAAACCGTACAGCTCCCTAGTAGCACTAAGTCCTCCCTTTCCACACACAGCCCAGCCCAGCGAGCACGGCGGCTTTTGCTTTGCCGGCCCGTTACTTTGGTTGAATAGTGGTGCTAACTTGACAACTTCTAGCCCTAAATCAATAAATGCGCAAACATATAACGCAATTTTATTTAGTTGTTTAGGAAGATAAATCTTTGGACTACCTTCCCAGCTATGTACAAATTTCGGAAATTTTCGGAAAATGTCAGTAATTAGATCACAAAATCATGATGATGAAAATCTTTCATTCGCTCTAACTCATGATTTCCTTGGTTGATTTCGCTGGTTGAAATGGCCATGTCTTCAGTAGAGCTATCCGAGAACGGAAAACGCATTTGATGACTAAAAGAAAGTTGCATTGGCCATATGTTGTGAATTCTGCATTTTATATGTTATAGCTAAATACATCTTCCCTGAACATGACTTAATTTGTCGGTGCCACGCATGGCTTCAAAGCCCGATGCTTGCATATTTTTGTGAAAGAGTGAATAGAGAACTTAGGAAAGCAGATGGCGTTGCGTAACATTTCTTACTATTTGGAATGCCAGTGAGGGACTGTGCATTGATATGGACAGCTGTCGATGTAAATATTGGCTGGAGAGGGTTACATTTCTTTTTGTCAAGCCAGGTTAATCTTGAATATTTTTCCCTCGGAAAATTCTTTCGAGACGGTATCTCCATTCGTTACAGCTTCCTGCTTAGATCAAGCATATCATAGACAACAATAATAGAGTTTTTTTTTAAATGTTTGCTTTTTATTGCAAACGAATATTTTTGTCGGGTCAGACCAGGGGGTTTGTTTGAAATACTCTACAAATAAAGGGGGAAAAGAAACAACAATTACATCTACATGAGTGATTACAGTGGCGGATCCAGGGGCCCCGGGGGCCCGGCCCCCCCCCCGGCGCTCAAGGGGGGGGGTGCAAATTTTAACATTTTCGAGGACCCCCCCCCCCCCCCCAAAAAAAAAAACAAAAAAAAAAAAAAAAAATGTGCTCACTACCCCCCTGGAATCATCAAAATAATAAGAAATTTGGCCAAGTCTTGGTAAAGTTACACTGTACACAGAAAGATGTATATGGGACTACACGAACACGTGGCGTAAAAATCCTTCCCCCGAGTTTTACGATGTTACATGACATATTTGGAATATGAAGGCATTTGAAGAACCATGCTTTTCAGGGAACATATCTTATCTAATGTTCTTCCACACTTGCATAATAAGAATGATAACGCTCACAAATTATTTTTCACCTTTTCCCAAAACTCAACCTTCTCTTTAATACACACTCATGCTAATTTCACATAAGCTAAATGAACTTCATTGTAATACAAATCATTCAAAACAAGACACTGGTATGATTTTTTACCTGAACACCATGCTATGGTTGTCTATTTCCTTGCCCATGCCAGATCCTTTCAGTATTCCCCCGTTTCCCACGACCGCACAGCTCAGGCATCGAGGTCTCTGATGATTCCCCAAATCTAGAACGGATTCGTCCTCCGAAAATAGTTTCAATGTTTTGGAGAGCTCTGATGCAAACGATGAAATATAAAGCATTCTCAACAAAATTTGGTTATTTGAGTATTATAAATGTTCAGACATAAAACCCATTACAAGCTAGAATAGAGAAGTTTGCTGAATTGAATTCAACGTACAAGTAGTCCTATGTATTTGAACATTTGCTGTCTCAGATTAATGAGAATAAAGAAAAACGCAAAAATGATATCATCACAAATGCCAGTTTCCTCGTTATCTGGTCTGGTCTAAGATAATAGTAGACTAGAAAAGGTATCAAGTTGATAGTATCATCCGATATACTACAAACTTTGATGTTGTTAGTTGGACTGTATGGGACAAAAATAATTTGGACTAATAAATCTTTACAAAGTGGTAATAAAGAAACAAATATTCAAATTCAGTTTCCAGTACAAATTGGCCCTTTTTGTTTGTAAAGAACATTTACTCTACATATATTTACACCACTACACGGTTCATTCTCCATTTTCCCGTACAGCAATCTCACCTTCAAATGTTAGCTTTTTTCTATAAAAAAAATCCGAACGGCATATCGTATTTATTCAAGCGTCGATATTCTTCCTGGTTAATATTGCCATTTGTCATGATCATCTTTACTCCAGGTCGATAGTACTGGGAAGCCCAGTGCGACTCTTGTAGTTTGGCATGCAATGAATACGGACACGACTGTATGAAGAAACGGGGTTTTATGAAATATTAAATAAGCCTATTCATGAAATCATGATGATAATGATGTTGAAAAACGATAAAGTTCCAGTAATACACTATACAATACACACGCACACAAAGTCAACTGTAATTAGCAAGAATATTTTCAAAGGAATTGTTCAAAAGGTAGAATAACAGATATAGTCTGTGTTGCTGAGTGCATATATAATATAAATGTAACCTTTGCCATTTACACAGCTTATAATGTCCTTGGCTCATCATTAATTTTGTCTGTTTCAATTTAACTTCTTCGGACATTTTTATCTACACAAAAAAGGTATCATTTAGTGTTAAATTCGAAATTTTCAGGGTAATTATTGACTATATGTTTTCATGTGTGAAAGAAATGAAATCTGTACAATGTCCATACATGTATATGAGACTTACGTAATATATCTATCATACCCTGTCAAAACAACACCCTTATACATGAACATGCGTATTACAAAAAAAATTGCTGTCATCATCAGAGTTGGTTATTTTATACAGAGATGATTTTTTTCTTACAGTTAACCAATCTTTGGCATGGCAGTGTTATAAAAGCATTAGAGTTGTACATTGGTTATTGAATCGATTTTTTAACCTATATGAGAGCTATGTATATTCTATCCTGAATATATGTAAATATCAAAAGCCTCCACTGAATTCAAGAGATTAATTACCAATTCGATTATATATATTATCATCCGTTATCCCACCGCAGCCACCATGTTGAATGATTAGATTAATGGATAGATAAGAGTTAATTATACAGGGTGTCCCAGAAAAACGAAACCGAGAATTATCGATGTTTTATCATAACTTAATCATAATTATAATTTATAAATGACACATATTTGTAAAGCTCACATTCTCCTCTTTCATTTGATGCAACTCATATAATGTACATTTCACTCTTGAGTGATTAAAAAAAATTGAAGAAAGGGTACCAAGAAGTTATTTGGCGGACGATATCTGAATTTCAAGGAGAAAATCACATTTCCCAAAAGTTCATTTCATGCCCTTTCATATGACACCTCAATCAGGAAAAATGAGCCAGGAATAACAAAGTTCTATTTGTTTAAAGTAATGCTTGCATTTCTATAATTTAATTAAACGAATTCGTTTTCACTGGCTGTCTACCCTAACAAAGAAGACGAAAGACTCCATGCATGGCTGATCGTTTGCGAAACGGAGTTTGTTGCTATTCAAAGATTTGATTTGATTTGATTTGATTTATTTTTCCACTCAAATATCCACAAATTGAAAATGACATATATAAACCATACAATATTACCATATATAATAGAACAAATGAATTATACAAGTAACGAAATACTGATGAGTGTGTATGTGTAATAAAATAAGTTTACAGAGTACATTTAAGTTTGATAATAAGACAAAATATTTTATATTGCTTGATTTAACTTAGAGAGGAAAAAAGGGAATCTCAGAAAAGCTAGGCTTGTTGAGCGAAATTCCCTGTATGAATTCAGTACTAGACCATATCAGCGTGCATCATTTGGGTGTTATTGACTTTCGATTGCTATCAATATTTGGTTTTTTTTTTTTATTACAAAAAGATATAATGTATAAGGAGGTTGATCCTTATAATAATACTTCTAAATTTTGTATCTCAGACTACCAAGAAAAATTTATTCCCTTATCATCATATCAAATCAGCATTACCGACAAGAATACCATTTCTGACGAATGAGAAATATAAAAACAAAATTTACTTACAGACAAAGTAAACTTTTGATCTATCCTGAAGGACAGTTCTGAATTATTTGGAGCAATTGTGATAAATGGACGAGGATGCCTCGGTCTTGTTGTATGATTATATTGATGTTCTTTTCTGAGAAATGAAAGTTCATTTTCTACGTAGACTATGTGTGATTCAGCAAATCTGCAAAATTGAATCAGTTAAATAAATGATTAGGTCCACAACAGAATCCATGGAACTATTCACATAGAGGAACAAATAAGAAGAAAATAAAAGGAAAAAAAAAACACGAGTTCTCCAACCCTCTTTAAATTAGATTTTCCAATTAATGTAAATTCTAGTTGAACATCTTGTAGTCACAAAAACATCTTAAATCTTCATTAGATCATTGAGTCATGGAGATATCCCACATAGTGCATTATCATTTTTAAAGTGACAGCTCCAGGTTGTTTATGGGGGTCAATGCCTATTCCTAAGGTCCGCTATTCATAAGGTCCGCTATTCATAAGGATCGCTATTCGTAAGGACCGCTATTCATAAGGTCCGCTATTCATAAGGTCCGCTATTCTTAAGGTCCGCTATTCATAAGGACCGCTATTCATAAGGATCGCTATTCAATAGGTCCGCTATTCATAAGGATCGCTATTCATAAGATCCGCTTTTCATAAATGGAGAAAAGGGTCATTATTCATAAGGGCCATTATTCGTAAGGACCGCTATTCATAATCAAAGAAGAGAGTCGGTATTCATAATATTAGAAGGGGTCGCTATTTATAATACGAAATGAGGGTCGCTATTCATAATAGCGACCCCTATTATGAATAGCGACCCTCATTTCGTATTATGAATAGCGACCCTCTACTCCTATTATGAATAGCGACCCTCTTTTCCTATTATGAATAGCGACTCTCTTCTCCTATTATGAATAGCGACCCTCTTTTCCTATTATGAATAGCGACTCTCTTCTCCTATTATGAATAGCGACCCTCTTCTCCTATTATGAATTGCGAACCTCATTTCGTATTATGAATAGCGACCCCCTACTCCTATTATGAATAGCGACCCTCATTTCGTATTATGAATAGCGACCCTCTTCCCGTGTTATGAATAGCGACCCTTATAAGTAATGAACTTCATTTTGTATTATGAATAGCGACCCTCCCGTCTTATTATGAATAGCGACCCTGATCTCATATTATGAATAGCGGTCCTTATGATTAATGACCCTTAATATGAATTATAAATAGCGACCCCCATCTCACGTTATGAATAGCGGTCCTTATAATTAACGAACTTTATTTCTTTACGAATAGTGACCCTCTTTTACCATCATGAATAGCGGACCAGGAAGTACGTGTATTTCCACGTTATGAATAGCGGTCCTTATGAATAGCGGACCTTATAAATAGGGGTCCTTATGAATAGCGAATAGACCCCGTTTATGGAGGATCTGACACAACTCGGCTCTTTGTGCAACTTATGCTTGGCTCCAAATCAAGGCAGAGTTAGCTAGGAGAGCTTTTATTGCTTGTACAGACTTAAATGAGTTTTGCACTGTGTACAGTACGTGTATCTTAGACATTGATTTTCAACTTTATTTGACAGAAATGTGTGAGACATTTTAAGTACGTTAAAAAGATTGTTTTCGACTAGATGTAAATTTATACAAGATTTAGGGCTTCTTTGAGGTCTAGTCTGGTGTGTAGCAACTTTCACTTTTGAAACCTAATAACCCATGTAATGCCTAGTTCACCCTACTCCCGAATCACCCCGACTCCTTTCGTTTCATGGATGGCATTTTACCACTACCGAAGAAATACTCCCACCATCTGGTTTTAATGGAATGCATTGACTATGTATAAATGAATGTGATTTACATTCCTTTCATGGGTATATTTACATCCAGTAATTGCATCAGTAGTTGTTTACAATTTCAAACAAGTAACACTATGAACATGACAGACAAAGAAAGCGGACAAAATATACAGTTCCTCATTCTACCTTCAACAACTGCTGTGGTAGACAAAGGAACATCCCTTCACTGCTATTATGTAAAAATGTGTAGAACAGGTGAATATGCATGTGACACCTGTTCTACACATTTTTATATAATAAGGGAGTTTACAGATAGCACATGGTACAAATGACCCCGAATATCCACAGATCTTTTACACATGGAGAAGTTCCACTTTGAGCATATTAGAATAATAAATGCCAAAGTCCTAGATGTGCTTCATGAATACCTTTTGTTTGCCCTCTTGAAAAGAATACTTCCACCTGCGTATCATAGAATGTACCGTAAGTGCATAAATGAATAATGTTACATAACTTTCATGAGCGAATATCCAGTATTTATCTCTGTGGTTTTACCTTTTTGGTACAAATGACCTTTATCTGCCCATGCGCAGATTGTATCTGTAAACTCCCTTATAGCAGTGAAGGGATGTTCCTTTGTCTACCACAGCAATTGTTGAGCGTACAATGAGGAACTGTATATTTTGTCCGTCATTTTCATAGTGTAACATGTTCTGCTCAAGCACAGACACTTTGAACATGACTGACAAAGAAAGCGGACAAAATATACAGTTCCTCAGGTAGACAAAGGAACATCCCTTCACTGCTATTATGTAAAAATGTGTAGAACAGGTGTCACATGCATATTCATCTTTTTACATAATAGCAGTGAAGGGATGTTCCTTTGTCTACCTGAGGAACTGTATATTTTGTCCGCTTTCTTTGTCGTCATGTTCATAGTGAGATGCAAACATTCAGAGAGGTATCAGTACTTTAGGTTCTTTGTGCCTTCAAGAGCAGGGTCCCCCAATAGCCAGACGGGCCTCAACACTTATATTTTAGAATAGAGTTAACACCCTTCTGGCTTTTGGAAAATAACTGATTGGCAAGATGAAACAATGAAACTGACCCTAATCCAAAGAAGTTCATCTCCTTAACTCAATAACTGAATGAATCCCAATATTAGAAACAGTGCTAATTCTATGAGAAAAAAAAAATGAATTTGATGAGGTAAAATGTTTTTCACCCACCTGTATTTTGTGTATGATACGTTATCCATATTAGCGATGTATACCAGAGTACCCATTATAGCCCCAATTAGGACCAGTTTAAAAAACGATTCAGGGTTTTGGAAATTCATCGCATCAGCCCCTCCACTTCAGATTGAACAAATGTCTGTGGAGTAAAACAAAAAGAAGCATACACAAAGCCATGTAAAATTGAAAAGTTTTTCGTTACGATTTTATGTGGAGGGGGTCCATGTTTTTATGGGAGTCCTTCTAGATAACCAGATTTAAGCACCTTAGGATTTTACGGGTCTGCCCTCTGCAGCAAAAGGCTTGGGAATCAAAAATATATAGAATAAACATAAATACATTATTTCGTTCAAGGTTCAAATATCGGTGAGTAAAAATAAACTCTAATATGAATAAGAATTAAATTGTTATAAAGCACTGACAATAATAGATTAGTGAAGGGGAAATCAACCCCATTTTTAATCCCAATTCATGATAAATATCTACCCCTAAATGTCTTTACAGTATTTGTGCCCTTTTAGATCTTAACTTTACATCAAAGTTTGATAAGTTGCCTATACTCTAAACATATTCCTTACTGCCTCATGCAATCTTCGGTTTATTTTTTTGTTGACGTGTCGCATCACTTTTAAGGATTTGTTCGATTCCCATAATACTGCACAGATACGTCAGAGATGACGTATTTCAATCATCAGTTCTGTACTCTTTTCTGTGGAGTGGATCCGAGTTCATATTTTAATAATCGAATGTTCCTTCTTGTTATCGTAGAGATGAGGATAGATGTGGGGTAGCTTGATTTCTAAGTCGAGGAATGTGGCCGCTTCATAAAAAAAACTTGTTCAAACCACAGTACATGATCATCAGGATGTTATTCATTTTCCCTCTGTTTAAAGATTTGCTTGATGCCGATAATACTGTACAGATACGTGAGGGGTGACGTATCTCGATCATCTTTATTCGTTCATCCGTGGATCCGAGTTCATATTATATTAATTTCCCTTTTGGACATTGTAGAGATGAGGATAGATGTTGGGTTTGGCCGCTTTCTATAAAAACATGTTTGGAATTGATTGTCATATGATGAACCCCAACTGAAAGTGGTCTTCATACCTCAGACACACCACCAAATTAAACTGACATCGTTACCAAACCAACCTTTTCTCCACCATTTTGTGTAATGTAATGTTTTGTTCGGTCTCTCGTCGGTCTCGTTGGCGTGACTGAGGTATCACATATTATTGGATACGTGAACTAGTCGGTAACACAGGAAACCTTGTACATTTTTCCTGAAACAAAATTAGGTGTGTGTACGAAAGTGGAAGTTCGCTTTAGGGAGAAATCAACTTTGGCGTCACTTTATTTGAATTTAAATTCCATGCATAGAATAGCGGAATCTACTCTTTAAAAAAAAAAAAAATTATTCACCACTTTCAAATGATCCCCCAAGCGTGATCCCCTGAGGGAGGCGTGATGGCTCGGTGGTAGAGCAGTGGTCTCGGTTAACCAGGGGGTCCCCGATTCGAAACCAAGTCGATTCGCTGGTGTCCTTAACTCTTCGATCACCTGATTGGTTAAGTACAAACATACACATACTTTCTTAGCAGTAAGGTAAAAAAAGAACAAACAAGCCTAGTATAACTCGTGAAAAGCCTGTTTTCACTTCTCTGCAATAAAAGATGATGTCATAGCCAATTTATGTTATAATTGGAGGGAATCCCAGCATAATTCGTTTGGTGATCCTTGTTCAAGTTACATTTTTTATTCAAAATTTCCTGTGTGAGCATATACCTTGTTGGGTATAATTCGAAAAGGCATTCCATTGCGGTCAATTTGACACCTTTGTCATCGGCGCGTTATGTATTGCAAACATTAAACGGGTTGTTAATAAATGCATAGAAAATTCATTATTTTTGGCGATATGACGTCATAAAATTTTACTAAACTTAACAGACAGTTGTCCTGTGTATGGTAACATGATTGCTAAGTTGTATTGCGCAGGTATAAATTTCGCCATTTTAGAGCAAGTTGAAGTTGAAGCAATTTTCTAGAATACTGCGAATTTGGAGGGCAATTTTCGCAAAGTCTGTCCGTGATAGAGATATATTCTTTTAAAAACGAGCATATATTCAAGTATCTAAATCCAAAAAAGGTAGAGGTTTGGCCAGATACGATGGAGCTACGGCCACAAAAATTAACATATCAAATTAGGACAGACTAATTTGATAACAGGAAATTAGGAAAAACATGTTCTATAGAGAATGACGTGAAAAACTTTTTTTTACGTCCATCTCAATTCTGCTAAAAAAAGTACCACATAATTTGCCTATATTGACTAGTAGTCATCGACAAAGACTATGCTCTTTCCAGATAAGCCAAAAAGTACAATTTCATCATGCTTTAATTAGGTGATACGTACGAAGTCTACGTATCACCTATTGATTTCGTCAAGATTTTCTTTATTATTATTATTAGGTGATACGTTCGAAGTACGTATCAAAAGCAGCAAAACACTTAATTCATTTAGGATTAGGTCTCGTCGAGGCTGTGACCCATGCACGTACGCAGGATTTTTTCAAGGGGGGTGTTTTAACATTTTTAAATCGGGCCGAAAATTTCGCAACGACTCAGAAAAAAGCGCGGGGATGGGGGGATGGGGGGGGGGGGGGGGGGGGGGGGGGGGGTAAGAGGACACTTTTTTTTTGGTCTCGAAATTTGAAAATTTGACATTTTGCTCCGTTGGGGGGGGGGGGGGGAGGGGAGGGGTAAAGTCAACTTTTTTTAGGTCAGCCATTGGTATAATTTTTTTAAATTAAAAAAGTAAAACAAAATTACCAAAGGGGGGGGGGGGGTCCTCAAAAATACACACATAAAAAATACCAAAGGGGGGGGGGGGTTCAACCTCCAAAACCCTCCCCCTGCGTACGCGCCTGCTGTGACCAATACGTTTCTGCCTGTTAATATGTACGATCCGATTTTCCTTGCCACATTGGCCATTGCCCCCCAAAATGTGATTATTTGGGTTGAAGTTGAACGGAATGAGGAATGGCGAGATCGCGCAGGGTTTTTATAGCTCCCGAGCTTGGACGGGTTTGCACACGCTCTAGGAGCGGGTTCGAACGCACTAAGAACGAGATGAGGACGAGTTGAACTGTCTATGAACGGGGTAGTCGGGTTAAAAACTAGTGGTGAACTAGTTAGAATGGGTTTGGACGTATTGGGAACGAGGTGGAACTAGTTAATAATGGGTTTAAACTGACTACGTACTGGCTTGGACTGCAGTGAAATGGCTAATTTGCCCGATCTGAACTTGATATGAACTGACTGTGGACGGGGTACAGACGAGATGGACGTATTGAGGACTGTTTATGAAAGAACTAGGATCGTATTATAGACATTATTTACACAATTTGCCCCATCCACAACCCGTTTTACGATTTTCTAGAACGGTTCCAGAACGTAGTGAGAAGTAGTTTGGTGTAATGGTGGCTTTACTTACGGGCATGTGCATGATTTTTCTGCACTGGGATTAAACAATCATCACCAAACAAACAAATGATGCATATTTTGTGACATGTGTATAAAGGAGGAAGAAAATGACAAGTGGAGTGTAATACAACTCCCCCCCCCCCAAAAAAAAAAAAAAAAAAAAAAAAATGAAATGAGGAAATGCGATGAATGTAGGAATCTTGCGTGCAGGGTCCATAAACGATGCCAATATCGCGTGCAGGGTCCAAAAACGATGCCATTATCGTTGTTATCATTTCGTTCATTATGTTCCACAAAGTATAATATTACACTTATATTTAGGTCCCTTGTGATCGATAATGCTGCAGATAGAAACACTTTCCTTGATATTTTGACCTCGACACTTCCTCAATCGACGCAGAAGTCAATATTAGCAAGTTTAAAGGGGAATATTAGTTGGCATTTTACCACATGCATGCAAGTTGTTACTAATAATATAACCCATGGTGAAAACTGGTATCACAATTATCTTTGAAAGTGTACGTAGTGTTATTAATTAATAAAAAATGACATTTTATAATTGTATAAATACAAAATATACAATCCACTTGCTTCTATGAAGAACAAGTTACCGTGCATGACTTTTTTAAAGGCTTTCCCCTCCAATTTCGCAATGTTTTTTCAGTCCATTTGATGAAACATTCTTTCAGTTCAGCGCATGCACCATTTGAAGGTGGAGGCTATCATTCAATTAAGCGTTGGAAATTCATTCCGTCTATAGGCACGTCTGCGAAGATTTACTCAAATTCGTCAGGAATGGCTGAAAGGTGATCCCAAGCATTCAGTTTCGCGAATTGGCAGTCAATTCTTAATATGATCATTAGAATTAACATGTACACTGTTGGTTATAATGGTGGAATAATTATTTTAACCCCAGTTTAGGGAAGGATTTAAAAAATGATTTATTTCTAATAGATCTAGATGATGGCATACATTCTCAGATTTTATTGAATAATATTTTACGAGTGTTTGTTTTGCGTGACTGCTAAAGCATTTGTGTGCTACTATGCTAATCAGCTAAGGGACTTACGTCCTTGAGTCATAATTGACAGTAATGAGGATTAATGCCTCACAAAAGGGCACTAATATAGCTGATCGACACGATTTTGATCCTGGGGCCTCACAGTAACAAAGCCATTGTTTTGCCACTTAATCATGACTGTATGCAGCGGGTGCTAGGGTTCGCGGCCGCCCCCACAAATAAAAAAAACGAAGAAAATGCAATATATTATCAAAAATTCATTGCACTTTCCACCGGTCCCCCACAGGAATAATTCCTCTGTGTGGCTATGCCTTGAACCACAATGCATGGCCCTACAGAAGATTTTTTTCTGTTGGGGGCCGGGGGAAAATGTAATGAATTTTTGATAATTTATTGCATTTTCTTCGTTTTGGGGGATTTGTGGGGGCGGCCGCGTACCCTAACAACCGCTGCGTACAGTCATGATTCACTGGCTAAGCAATGGCCTCGTTATTGTGAGGCCCCATGATCAAAACCGTGTCGATGTGCTATATTAGTGCCCTTTTGTGAGGCATTAATCCTCATTACTGTCAGTTATGACATAAGGACGTAGGTCCCCTAGCTGATTAGCCTAGTAGCACACGCATGCTTTA